ATAGTCTAGGCTTTTTGATATCATTGACTGTTCCTTTTTCAATAAAAATGGAACTCGTAAATTTACTTAGCTTGTCATTGGTCATTTGTAAAATTATCTTCTCAAAAAACATTCTGATTGTACACACAAGTACTCTGAACTTGACATTAAAAAGATGCTTGAGTTTCTGATTGACAATATCTATGTGGTTTTTGGAGACCAGGTCTTCCAACAATCTATTGGAATTCCCATGGGTACCAATTGCGCCCCGTTATTAGCAGACCTTTTTTAATATTCATATGAAGCAGAATTTATCCAAAATTTTGTACGTGAAAAGAAGAAAATACTTGCTGTGGCCTTCAACTCGACATTTAGGTATATCGACGACGTATTTTCAATTAACAACAGCTATTTTCATTCTTGTGTCGATACGACATATCCCGGTGAGCTTGAGATAAAAGATACAACAGAGTCTGACATATCTGTTTCATATTTGGATATTTTACTTGAAAAAGACGTTAATGGTAATCTAACAACCAAGCTTTATGATAAACGTGATGACTTTAACTTTTCAATCGTCAACTTCCCTTACTTATGCAGCAATATACCTTCATCACCAGCATACGGGGTATATATCTCTCAGTTGATTCAATATGCAAGAGCATGCTCTACGTATGTACAATTTCTAAAACGGGGTAAATTATTGACAAACAAGTTGATGAAACAAGAATATCAGCAGCCTCGTTTAAAGTCATCATTTCGTAAGTTCTATGGTCGATACAATGACCTTGTCAGCAAATACAATTTATCATTGAGTCAAATGCTGACTGACGTTTTTCATACTAATTGTTAGCCCATTATTTACACACTGAATTGTCGACGAATTTTTTCGTTATTTTCCGATCATGACAAGGGGCACACGGCGGGTGTGACCGGTCAGCAGGGGATGCTAACTCCTCCATGGCACCTGACCCCACCTCTGATATTTTAAGGTTCATGTTTGCTCTGCTCCTATTTTGTATTGTTAAATGGACTTTTGAGCTTGAATACTGTTTGTTTTCTCCATATATTTCATTTTTATATATATTACACAAGCAAATAATCACATTTTGAAGTCTAGAAAATATGGAAAAATTGCCGTAAATGATAAAAAATATCAAAACGACGAACTGATTTACAAACTTTGAATGAGTTATTTTGTGTTAAAAATTTAAAACAATGTTTAATAAAATACATATCAGATGTCAGGAGTGCAACAAAATAAGGTAAAATGGGATCACTTCAAAATCTAGTATTTTTTGTAAGAAAACTTGTACTATATCAAAATTCTTTTTTGGCTTAGATTTAAAGAATCGACTTAAGGAGGTATTCTTGCCTGGTTTCTGACTATATGAAATATTCAAAGTATATATGGTTATATGTCTTATATAATTAGATGTAAGAGATTTAAAAGATCATATTTTTCTTTCCTCATCACAACTGTACAACTTTAAATAGAAATGGTAAACAGAGTTTAAAATCTAGCAGGGACTACATTTTTGCGTATGAAAATATCTCCTTTTCCGCTTCTCAAAATTACTATAGAACAATGAATTTAGTTTAAATTTTTAAACAATCAAAGACTAAAAGAAAATTTCAAATGTAAGTGAAATTAAAGTAATGGACTGAAGTTTTAAAATATATCAAATTAAAATAATTTTCCAAACAAACAACTATTTTTTTAACTTTTAAAAGCGGCCGATCTAAGTACAGATTTGAGCCCAAAAATCCGTAAAAAGTGTTTTTTCTCTCTTAGTAAACGGTCAAAACTTGTTGTTTTTGAATCAATTTGTATCTTTATATGACTACTTTACCATATGTGAAAATAAGAAAAATCTAAATATACGAAGCATATAAAAACTAATATATCCTAAAAATCTAAGAAAAATAGAGGAAATTCGGATTAGCCAATATCTACTTCAGTTGAATCATTTATGTCAATTTGGTAGTATCATCTGATAAACCCTATATTTTAATATCTTTTTATGCAAAAAAAAAATTATCTTTTGGAATAGAAGAAGGCATTACATGATTTGCAACAATATTTTTTGTTATTCCTAAGGTTAAGGAAAAAGATAATGATCTTGACCCGATCTTGCTTTTAAAATAAAACGGTCAAATTTAATCTAATTGATACCATTACGTAATAATAATGTCTTCTTGAATCAATGAATATTTCATTAATGTTTAAATACAAGAAATATAAGAATCCCTCCTTAAATGGACAAAAAAGTAATTTTTTGGGGAATTTATTGTATAACATTTCTTTTTATTAAAACTTTTCAAACAAGAATTGAAAAAAATTAATGTAAAATAAAAATCAAAAAGCCAATTACTTTCACATATCACATATACAAGTGAAGAAACTCAATCAAGGATTAGATCTAATCATTTATATTCCTGACACCATTTTGAAGCATAAAAAACCTTTAATTTCTTTTGATTATACATTGTATATTTTAGAAAGTATTTTAGTATGTAATAATATTTTCTTTTTCAAATTAAGTTTTACTAATAAAAACTCTGATTTTTTTTAATGCAATTGTCTATTCTTTTGCCACTTAAGGAACGTATGTTCAGTATGATGTAATGAGTGAAAAATATGTTATGTTTAGTTGAATTTATAAAAAAAAAATTATTTAAATTTCTAAACCCCCCTTATTGAGTTTATATCCAGGATGTTTATAGCATAGTCCCCGGGGCTAGGGTAATGGCAGAACAGAGAGTAAACATATATGGGGAAATAGTTATAACTTTTCTCAAGAACAGCAGGACAACAAATCGTTATAATAAAAACATCTCCTTTTAGTTCAGATTCAAGGTTGTTCAAATCGAGGCCTCTTCGGCTAGAGTGGGGCAACAATATGCGTTAAAATATTTAAATCGAGTATAAAGGAAACAAAATCTTTAAAATATTTTTATATATACAAGCATCCGCAGGTAGGGGTAGCCCCAGATATCGTAGATAAAAGTTTGTTTAAATAATGATCCCGACGGTAAGGTGTGACCACAGTAGGGGATAAAAGTTTTCTATTTGAATATCGAAAAAAGATTGGAAAAAGAAAATGTATTTAAAAATCTTTTCAAGAACAGGTTGTAGGATCGATCATCAAGGGGGACCAAAGTTTTACTTGCAAATACAGGCAAAATCTTTTTAAAGTCTTTTTAACAACACCAGGGTCATTAATTAATAATATCATTATGCAAGCTTCCTCAAGCTGTTCAAATTCAAATTGATTCAAGCCATGGCCCCTTGGGCTGGTGTAGCCACAACAGGGTAATCATTGCTTTTGTATAGATATTTACGAGGATTGTTCAAAACGTTCCTGGTCATTGGCGTTTTTGTCAATTTGTATGGTGCTGATATACACATTGTATGCCAAAATATTTGTCTTGAAAATCCAAGAGGGAATTTTTTTTTTCTTAATAGTTTTGTTAAAATCACCGTCTTTAAAGATCGAAAAGAGTGTATATACAAAGTATTTACGCCCATAACTTGTAAATTTCAATATTTATGCATTTACTAAATCATGATTTATATTAAATATTATTGTACACACACATTTGACAGTGGAATCATTAAATAGACAATTATAGTATTTGTCCACGAACTTTTTTGAATAACTCTCGTACATATGTAGGAACATTTTATCTTAAAGAAAAAGTCTTCTTAGGAGCTGCAATAGTTAAAAAATTCACTGTATTGTATTAACATCTCAAGATAGTTCGTAGTTTATAAAGCGTAACTGTCCCAACCCACTTTATACCGTATAAACTGGTTAGCTATTAAATTCATTCCTTATAATTTAATTTTCATTCATTTAGTGTAGGAAAAAAAGATTATTGCCCTTAAGAAAATCACTTCAAATTGTACAAAATTTAAACGTTACGTCAGGCGGATCGATACGATTTTGACGCAAGCCATTGTGACGTAAGCAACCCAATTTATACGATATAAAGAAATTTTTTTTGTCCAATCAAATACCGCGTTATAACCAGAATTAAATTATTCAGGTATAAAACCCGATTAACTTGCGAAATCCTGAGATTTATCTGCGAAATCATGTGATATATATTTGAGAAGTTGATATTTATATTCAAAAAACATAATTATTTTATGCAAAAACATTTGATTCAGGTTAGATAATCTACTGATCTTTATCGGTAACTTTATTATATGTGTTAACTCTTGTTATTTCTATGCTAAAAGTGGATATTTATATTCGAAAACCTGTTATTTATATGTATTTATTTACAATTTATTTATATGACTTACGTCAAAAACGTATCAATCCGCTTGATGTTACATTTAAAATATGTACAATTCGTAAGCATTTTTGAAGGAGAAACTGTCTTATTTTCTACACTTAATAATGGAAAATTAAATTAAAAGGAATGAATTTAATACCTATCCAAGATATACTGGCATTACCTGGGATGGAACAGTTTACGTTTTTTTTTTATAAACCGTCTCGCGGTTTATAAAGCGTAAACTGCCCCAACCCAGGTTATACATGTACAGTATACAATGGGTAGCTATTAAATTCATTCCCCCCCTCTCTCTCTCTCTCTCTCTCTCTCTCTCTATATATATATATATATATGATAATGTCTAAAAACCAATTTTACTCATGTTGCTATCCCCTATATTGATTGTCTAACTGACATTTCCAAGAATCCACTCTAGATTTGAAAAAAAAAAATGCATCAGTTGTGAGAATCTTGATATTGATGGAAAGAGCACGTCGGCACACATTTTCCAGATGTACAAATACACATTAACAATGTCTTATTACGCATTACCAATTGCATTAAATGTTGTCAAATTGGTTTATTCAGGGACACCAATCAAACTGGTATTACATGTCGATTTTTCTACATGCTTCCGTATTTTGTTTTCTTCTCTCCCATTTGCCAATGCATGTTGAACGAGGAAGGGTAGACATGTATTTAAGGATAAAGGCGGTATTTTCCTGAACACAGTTATTCCAGGCTCAGGTATATTAAAAACACAAATCAAAAATGCCAGTCTTGATTTTTGACACAGTTTTTAAAAATATTTTTCATTTTAGCCTTTCCTGTGATCATGGGTGTTTACAGAGCCATACTGTCTTTAGTTCTTGTGGTTGCTGCCATCTCTACCACCGCCGAGGCTGGGGGATATGGTCACGGACACGGAGTGTACGGTCTCCAATATTCCAAACCCTTGGCATACACCTATTATCAACCAGCCCGCGTACAGTATGTCGCCACCGGGGTGAACACAGGAGTAGCTGGGAGCGGCGGACTAGGATCTATTATTCCTATTGCTATTATTTGTACGAATGCCTTTTTATATATTTTTTATATTCATATTATTTTAATAAATATGTACGCTTTGTAAATATACAAGATTAACCTTATATAACATCAAGTTTATGATTAAAAAACAAAAGTTTGGTAACAAACATTTTCTTTTTTTTCAGTGATTATCTTCGCCATATTTATTCCATTGGTGCTCAGCAGTATCCTGTTTTCTAGTCAATCTCTATATACAACCACTACTCCCGGAAACTGAAATTTTCAGTCCACAAGGTAGTTTTTTGATATTTGTGGTGTTATCTAGAAAATATAAGAACTTCGACTTTCGAACTGCATTCTTCTCTTTTGAATTGCGATAAGAATTTTTTATTTATCCTCATTTTTTTTTCTTCAAATTTCTAATTTCCAATATTTTCTGGTAAGATATGCATTAAAGAATGTAATTATTTTCTGAAATTTTTTCTTTGATATTCTTTTTATTATGAATATAAATGTAAATTTACTCTTCTATTCTGTATATTTCTTTTTACTGACGTAAACTTATTTAAATTTTGAACATTGGCAAAATGCCTCAAGTTCCGCTTATTTGAAGTTTCAGATGGAGAATTAACTGGATAAGAGGAAAGAGGGAACTGCCTGATATTCACAATATATATAGACTTACAATAAATTGTCTGTCCAAATTCAAAACTTTTTTTCTTTATAAAAGAATATTAAAACTACTTTATAAATTATTCAGAGCGAAGATTTAGGTTAAGGTAAAAATTTCAAATTATAAATTAATATTATCTTAAATTATCGGCTTATCATAAGTAAAATGTTTTCCATTGTCCACTGAATTCCTAAAAAGCTTTATGCTTTTGTGTCATTTTGGATAAATAAAAAAAATCATCTAAATGAAATTTAAATTGAAAACAAGTCTATCAAATAATGACATGATACACACCATTAACTAGCCCTATTATGGAATGTATCGATTCGCATCTATGGGATAAATCATATATTGTGACATACATGTATATCTACGTAATTCAGTTCTGAATCATAACATTAGAGTCGCACCCGTGGCGCAGTGGTTAGAGCGTTCGCTCTAAAGTCGCAGAGTAAGGAGTTGATCCTTACGTCGCAGGTTCGAATCCTACTTGGGGACGTGGAGACCGGTCCTTCGGATGAGACCGTATAAACCGAGGTCCCGTGTCGCAAAAGGTGCTGGCACGAAAAAGTTCCCTCGCTGCTCAATGGCCCTGAGTGCCGAATATAGGTCAAAATTTGCAGCTCTCCACCGGCAAGTGGTGGCGTCTCCATACGAGTAAAAAATTCTCGAGAGGGGCGTTCAACAATAAACAAGCACAACATTAGATACTGTACATGCATATGATGGTTTGTGGCGTACAATTCTCATTCAGATAGTAATATAATGTATTCATATACGATGAAGTTTATTGAAACATCTTTTGTCATAGTATTTTATTTATAAACAGATCCATATTGTACTTTACACTATAAAACGTGTGTCATAGTTTTCAAAATTAAACTGATTTCTCGAGAGTTTAAGGTAAGACACATCTTGTCGCCTTGTACAATACCATGAAATTAAAATATGCAAAAATGAGAATCAGTCCTCTATGACAAGAGTCAATGTTAAAAAAATTAACTATAAACCAATTACATATATTCAGATAAGATTTTTAAAGAAGAGTTAGTTATCATGATGAATTGCATCAAATTTCCAAAGGTGATATAATTTCCATGGGCATAAAACAACACTTCCGCATGAAAAGTCCGTGATTAAGCGTGCTAGGCTTTCACATGTTGACTACCATATTACTCACTGATTAGCTGACTGTTCAGTTCAGTTTATTGAAGTCATGAGACATACAACTCATAGACAATATTTACAATCATACATTTAGTATATATGATGATGAGATTAACATCCAACATGTACAATATATTATATAATGATATCTACAATCATATAAAACATACAATGATGAAATTAACATCCAACATGTACAATATATAATATAATGATATTTCAGTAATTTATAAATTAGATAAAGACAATGTTCTTGTTGCACTCGCTAACTGCAAAAATTTTCCTAGATTACATAACTCTTTCACATTCTATGTACCAATTCGTACCAATTTGAAGGCACTTGGTCTTCGGGAGTAGTAGTTTTTTATGTATTTTTGCTGATTAGCTGCCTGGTACCAAAAATGCATACTAATTTGCATATAAAACACAGAACCCCCAAAGCCCACCAAGAGTATTGACCAATCGCATCGAACACGTTGAAGGCATGATTGTTATTTACGTATATATTTCGACATAATTGTCGAAAACAGCAAAACTGAATAAAGAGTAGATTTTAACATTTTATGACAAACACTTTCAGTACCTATGGCTTTATTCACGGGAAGTATTAATTAATGTCATTTACGAAAATCTCATTTTATAGAACAAAGTGTGTCATTACACAGATTAAATTGTTGCAACGTTTTCATGCTGAAAATGTGAAAGAATTATGCAATTTAGGTAAATTTTATTTACTTTGGCTTAAAAACTAGAAATGTTACATTAAGTATTTATTATATATATATAACACATGTACACTCTTGCGACATTCTCCTGTAAACCTACGTGTATTTGTGATTATTTGCACTGATGATTATTATAATTAAAAATAACACCCAAATAGGTATATAGATCAACAATTTCTATTGTTTAACCATTATTATACCAAATTTCAAATTCTTTCACTCTTCCCCCTTTTCTCAAAACAACAATCTTTGATTTATGTAATTTCGATTCCATGCTCTACAATAGTTTGTTAATTGATTCAACGTAGATTGAAGACCAACAACAGTTTCAGAATAGAAATAAATCATAAATAATTATACATTAATTTTTTTTTTATAAATCAAGAAGTTTTTATTTCTAGTCTTTAGGATATTGTACTTGGACATGTATACAACAGGTACAATTGTATGTAAATTATGTGCCGCGACTATTAATTACGTAAAATTTCCTCTCTAGCCGGGTTTTGAAATGAAGGATTTTGCAAGGCTGCGGGTATGTTGTTGCTATTTGGTATTATTATGTTATTATTTACAATGGATAAAATAAAGAACTAAAAAAAAAATACTTACTCCGGTGTGTGTGTGAGGGGGTGGGGGTGGGTGGTGTGGGGGATTAAAAAAATCTTATAAAATTCTAATGTTAAAGTTTAACTCAGTAATGAAACGTTATATTTACCATTTTGAATAAAGTGCATTTTATGGATTTTAATCTGGTCCTGTTGTACACATGGATATTCTTAACTTCTTTATAATTAGGACAGAATTTGATTGAGAAATATTTTCCCAGGGGTTTAATTATATAACTGAAACAACTACCCGTTCTTTAGCGATGTAAAGATTGACAGATACATTATTAAGCCCTCGAGAATTTACCCCATCCTCCCCCAAAATGTTTGACATACAAAACGAGGACAATCTCCCGCTCCGTGAAAAGACATTTCTCAATTCTAAAACTTCATGAAAAGTTATATTTTTCAAGAATTGTATCGTCAATATCCTCTTTTACACATTTGCTTAATTTATTTTATTGAATAAATTATTGATAAATTATTCATTTTTCACTCATATTTTTAAGGTATGTGAAAAGGAAAAAAAAAGATTCACGCATGATTCGAACTTTCTCCAAAGCTCACGTTAAGGGTTAAGACTGAACGCGTTAACCACTACGCTACGAAGTCTTCTCGTCTGCGGTGTGTGTCAGTGTCATTAAAATAAACGAGTTTGTTGAAGCGTAATTTTTTCAGAAATGTTCGTTTCTTATATAGAATGGGTTCAGACTCCATTTTTTAAAACACGAAATAGATTTTAGATTTACTTTTCTGTTATTTAAACGTTAATGAAGAATGGAGTCTTGACCCATTCAGGTTCAAAAATCATTTTTATGACTCTTATTAACCCCATCATTTACTAAATATGCTTAACTTTCAACTTCAAAAATAAATTATCAATTAATAAATCGTTCACAAAAATTGAATCAGATGTGTTTAAGATGACATTACTGAAATCATAAATTTAGAAAAAATATCTTTTCCGTGAACTTTGAAAATTGAGAAATATATTGTCTCGGTGGGGGGTGGGTGGGTGGGATTGTCCTCGCCTTTTACACCCTCTTGCCTATAAACAGAACCAAACTGAATCGATTTTTTTTTAAAATATAAAGAAAAGCAAGAAAATTTACAGAAATCAAACTTAAAATTTAAGAACCGTTCTCTGTAATGACTTTTTTTTGGCATTACACATTACTAGCATTACTTCGAGTTCAAGTAATGCATTGCAATGCATTACCAGTAAATTTGGAATTACCCCAAGCCATATATATATATATATATAGAAAGCACAAAGAAAGGATGCCTGCTGTTCTTGTACTGCTAGGAGACAGATTCCGTAGGTCGAGAGTTCAACCCGGGTTGGGGCGGAAGTGGGTATCCTTATAAAAGTGAATTTCTTTGCTTTCTATCATTATATTTCTTCATTTAGGGCAGTTATGTTAGTTTAAGAGTTTTTGTAAAATGTGCTTTATAAATAAAATTAATTCATTACAATGTGTTTCGGTAACGGTCCTCTAATAAAACCAATGTCCAAATAACTGTAGGACAGCGCCACGAGAATTCCATTGGCATTGAAAGCAAGTTATTTGACTTGCCTAGATGGCCGAGCAGTCTAGCGCGCTGTTTCTGTACTGCTAGGAGACAGATTCCGTAGGTCTAGAGTTCAAGCCCCGGTGGTTGGGGCGGAAGCGGGTATCCTTACAAGAGGGAATTTCTTTGTGCTTTCTATATTAGTATTTCTTATTTCTTCACTTATGGCAGTTATGTTAGTTTAAGAGTTGTTGTAAAATGTGCTTTATATATATATATATATATATATATATATATATATATATATATATATATATATATATATATATATAACGTTGATGGGCATTTTTGCTTCTTCTTTTTTTCAAGCGGATTACAAACGAAATAAGTATCACCAATTAATTTCAATCATGCATTATTTCAGAGGTTTTTATAGCACTGGTGTAGCGAGTTTTAATTTAGTCGTATTGTGAAAAACCCTTTACCTATAATTCCGTAATCATTTAAATGTTGTTCGAAATTCCAAATAAAATCCAAGATCGAGGCCAAAGTGTGCGAGAATCGTGTTACGTCTACAAAACCTTTCGTGTAGACTTTTGTGTACACCGTTAAGCGTTTCGCATAAACCGCGCAGCGTTTCGTCCAAACCGTGTACATAACAAGCGTGTACCGTACATGCAGTGTCCAAGTCGGGTAGTGGCATGTTTCAGGGACTGTACATTTAGTTCTTATGAGACAGTCCTGGGTCAATATAGTGGGTGATTCCCATCATTCCACTCAATCAGATATAGGAAATAATTTTAAACACATAAATGATATTTTCGTCATTAGTTTTGTAATTCATCTAACAATTTATATTATGTAAAATTTATGCATTTAAACCATTAAAAAAAAACTCAGATAATTTTGTTAAACCGACTAGGAAAGGTTGGAGTGAATTAATCTTAAAATAAATAAATCAATTTAATCTTGCACTATAAAACTAAAATTTTGATTATGATGAGTATCAATAATAGACAAACCACTTGA